CTAAATAGTTCCATCTTGCCATAAAACCAAAATTCTTTAGATTCTTTATTGTTTTGTGGTGCAATTCAGCTGGTTCTATCTGGTTCGGGCAAACCGGTAGCGGTGGCGGCGGGGGGCTTTGCCCACCCGCCCGAACATATCATCATGTCCCATTTTAGACATTCTGCACATGCACGGAAGGTCCTGCGCATGCACAGAGGTGGCGCAGTGAGAGTTGCATGCGTGCGTGCGCAGTCACATTTGCGAAACGGTAGCGAAGATATGTTGATTTCAGCCCTGCCATCAACTAATAGAAACTTTCTGTCAAGAGCCTGGGAAATCGGGCAGTTCGAATGAGTCTACGGATTTATTGCAAGCTTAAGCTCTCCACAATAATCTGGCCAAGTGACAGTTAAGGGAAATGTGCGGGAGTTAAGAATAGAAAGGAATTCAAGGTGGGCTGGATCTCTGGCAAGTGCGAAGGTACTCATGAGTTATGACACGTTTGACCCAGAGGTGGTTTCCTACTGGTTGAGACTGGTTCTGCTGAATAGGTAGTAACTCGGCCTGACATGCCCCTGAACTGGTTTTCTCAGCTGGGGCATAGGCGCCGCCATCTTGTTTTTTGCTTCTGCGCATGCACAGAAGCTTTTTTTAGTACTGCGCATGCATGCGTAGTGCACATCAAGCGTAAGCGTGCGTGAAGCGCACCCCTGAGCAAACCAGCAGTAGCAGCAGCCAGAACCTACCCCTGGCTTGACTCCCCACTAGGGGCTCATCCTGCTCGTCTCCTACATTTTCCTCTTCTTGAATTCTTTCTTGAAAATAAGGAGCAAGAGACCAACAGATGTTGCCCACCAATGCAAGCTATTAAGTGCAGGCAGTCCTCAACTTACAACCATTCATTTAGTGACCATTCATAGTTACAACAGCACTGAAAAGGGGACATATGGCCGTTTCTCACCCTTACGACTAATGAAGCGTCTCCATGGAGATATGATCAAAATTCAGACACGTGGCAACTGGCATGTATTTATGAGGGCCGTAGAGTCCCAAGGTCACGTGATCACCTTTTGCAACCTTCTGACAAGCAAAGTAGGTGCGGGAGCCAGGTTCATTTAGTCACTTAACAACTCCAGTGATTCACTTAACAACTGTTGCAAGGACGATCTTAAAATGGAGCAAAAATCACTTAACAAATCTTGCTTAGCAATGGAAATTTTGATTTCAATGCTGGTCATAAGTCGAGGACTACTTGCAACTTTCCCTTTCCAATAGGAAAATGTCCCAACAAGTGGCAGGGTAAGTTGCTCCAACTGTGAGCAGAAGGATTTGCCACAGCCTGTGGTGACTTGGATATGGCAATCCTGTGGGTTAAGCAGGTGCATGAACCATTCACTTCTAGCACAGGTTGTGGGTAGGGAAGAGCGCTTAATAGCTCATCTCATCAGCTGTCTCCGTGGCCTTTCAATAGCAATAGCAGTTATACTTATATACCGCTTCATACCCTCTCTAAGCGGTTTACAGAGTCAGCATATTGCCCCCAACAACAATCCGGGTCCACATTTTACCCACCTCGGAAGGATGGAAGGCTGAGTCAANCCCCGCACGGCCCCTTTTGCCCACTTACGCGAGTGTCCGGTTGCTGGAGATCGTGCTAGCTGGCGGCTTGGCTTGGCTAGTGACGCTGAGCACAGCGAGGAGGGGTGAGACGATCTTCAGTAACCTTGTTAAAATTCCAGTAAAAAACTCTTGTAGATTGAAGAATCCTATAGGATCTAGAAAAAGGCTGAAAAAACTCCTGTAAAAAACCTGTGGAAAAAACCTTAGTCTGCAAAGTGAGGGAGAGTCAGGAAAACACTCCTTCTGGGCTGGAGACTGAGGTTAATCTGGGGGGTCAGCAGGAGGATTGGAGGTGTGGCCTCAAGATTTACCTCAGTCTCCAGGACAAAAGGGATGGGTTAATACGCCTCACTTCGGAAACACACAATTCTCCAGTCTGCATAGGTCTGGAGGACTGGCAGCAAAGTAACTGTTCTCCACCCCTTGGCTATGATCCTCCGTGAGAACCGGCAAGCAGAAGATCCCGGTCCATTCCTTCTGCTGTTGGGTGAGCCATGGCTTTGGGGCAGACCCCTTGGCGATAGGAGAGGCCCCTTGGAATGAATGGCTGCTCCATGCGGGTCTGCACTGGCAGAAATGGAAAGGCATATCAGTGCTGGAGTGAATCTCCCCCATTAGGCAAATAGTAGTGGCCCACATCAGTGCATTGCTTGAAGGTGAAAATTGAAAATTAATCTACGTAATATGGAATTATGTATGGAATTGTGGCTAATAGGTTAAAAAAAAACCATTGTTTACATGCGTGAGAATGAAACATGCTCCCCTGATTCTAGGCTCCTCTGACATGATATGTGACCTCTTGGGCGTGAAGGGCAAGGAGATCCTTTACATTGGGGATCATATCTTTGGGGATATTCTCAAATCCAAGAAGAGGCAAGGATGGCGCACATTCCTGGTGGTCCCAGAAATGGCGAAGGAGCTGCAAGTGTGGACGGAGAAGAGTGGTGAGGTTCCCTCCATCTGTGGGGAGAGAGGTGGCCCCAGGGGTCCCCTACAATCTTGGAGAGGTCCTTTTCCTGGGACGTGTGGCTCAGTCACCTTCCAACCCTTCAGTCTGGCTAGAACCTGAACCCGTTTCAGAGGCCTTTCAGTTGACTGCCTCAAAGAGCCAGGCTGCCCTCAGACCTCGGGAGCTGCCCTGGCTGTTTCCCCATCCCTTTTGGGCCATCAGCTGAAGCCATCTTCTCTTTACAGAACTCTTCGACGAGTTGCGGCGTCTAGATGCCCACTTGGCTGAACTGTACCAGTGAGTACGATCCTTGTTGACCCGTTAGCCTTTGGCCTGGATGGCAAGGGGGTATTCTTCACAGCCACATCCATGTGGCCAGACCTGACTTGGCTGTCTTCCACAACCTTGGCCCGAACCCCTTCAGGAGCGAGGATGGACGCTGCTGGTGTTTTAATACAGACTCGTTTAAGGGAAGGGGTTGGTGGGTTGCCCTGGCTGTGTTTTTGGTCCACTCAAAATCGCCCTGCTGCCGGGAAAAGCAGTCAACTCTGCTTAATATGTGGGTGGATTTAGAGAATAGAACAGAATAACAGAGTTGGAAGGAATCTTGGAGGTCTTCTAGTCCAACCTCCTGCTCAGGCAGGAGACCTTAGACCAGTGATGGTGAACCTTTTTGGCACCAAGTGCCCAAACTGGAACGCTCGTGCATGTGTGTGCAGATGTGAGTGCCAGAGGGACGGAAATCCTCACATTCCTATTTTTTGGCTGGTTTGGGCTATTTTTTGGGGCCGTTTTCTGGCTGATTCTCAGACTGTTTTGGGGCCATTTTTCAAGCCATTTTCTGGCCCGAAAAATGGCCTGAAAACAGCCCCCAAACAGCCTGGTTTTTGGGCATTTTTGGCTGTTTTCTGGAGCTCCTGTGCCTGCAAAGACCTGCTGGCTAGCGTGCAAAAATGCCCCCCCCCCAAATGGTCTTAAAATGGCCTGAAAAATGCCCCCAAAATGGACTGTTTTTTGGCTGTTATTTGGCCGTTTTCTGGTGCTCCAGCACCCACGAAGACCAGCTGGCCAGAAACCAGAAGAGCAGCTGG